ACAACATCAGGTCTAGAATACTTTATCAGAAGTTAGGAGAAACCTTTAAGAGAGAATTGATTTTTAAAGCATGAATCTCAGTTCTCTGAGGCAGAAGATGGGACAAGTTAAAACAATAGCCTAGTTGCACTAATTCTTTGGTTTAGCCAAAGAAAACATATTTCCAATCTGTTTTCTTCTGTTCTAATCTGCTAACTACTGTTCCTTACTTTGCAGATTAAAAAGGTGTGATGTGAGATTCTCAGATCTGATTCACTGTATCCTGACAGTTCACAGAAGTGCAAAGCAGAGAAAGCAGAATCTGGCAAACAGCTGACACATTCTGTTATATTTATGGGTTTTTGTAAGATTGTCTGCCAGAAATGACCATACTTGAAAAAGATGCTCAGATAGAAGTGTTTGAACACTGTTCTTGAAGAAACAAAGTGATCGCTGGTACTTTGTGTCTTTTACAGAAAGTACAATACTTTGCTATGCAAGTTGGCCACATGGAGGAAGAAAAAGAGTTTAATTTCAGATCCGCTTGAGACTTAAGACCAAAAGCTTAGGAAGAGGAATTACCATTAAATGTTTTTTCTCTACCTTAGATTACTGGACTTTAGTTAACATTGGAGAAATTACCTCTGTGTTATCAATAACTTTTAGAATAAGCCACTGGTTTTGCTTCATAATTACAAACTTTTAATTTGAACAGATCATCTCAATTGAAAAGCAAACACGTCTTTTTGCAGACTTTTTTTTTCTCCTGTAGTGAGAAAATAAATCTTAGGTCTTGGTTGGCAGCCATTCATGAACGTGGCAGAGACATTCACCTCATAGGAGAATACCACCTGGGCCATTTTGTGACTATTTGCTGCTCTTTGGTAAAGATGAGTAAGATTGGCTTTGCCATAGGAATAGTTGATTCCTCCATAGCTAGCACAGAGGGAAGAGCAATGATGGGTCAGAGCAAAGAACTGTGCAATGGAGAATGCTGCCTATGGGTGGCGAGCTGTCAAAGTTTACCCTCTCACTGAGGAGGATTTTATGTGTATCTGGGAGAAGAAGACAGGAGAAGGAGGCACGGTGATTTTCTTTCATTTTACGTCATTTGAGACAAAGCTTGGCAACTTTTTGTCTCAACACATGCTCAGGTGACCAACTGAAACATAGGTGATATTTGGTTCTGTTGCATTAAGACCTGTGAGAAAGAACGAAAACGTAAGACTCCTGTCACCTAAGACAGCAGCACAAAACCTTACCAAATTGACAGTGCTGAAATGTAGCTGTGTCTCTGTCACTGAAACACTTCGTGTGCACATGGAGAACAGGTTGATCTGTTAAGTTCTGTAAGTAGGTTGTGCTAACCAGCCTGCAGGTTAGGTCTTGTGCAGTTAGTGATCTTACTTTTTGTGTTGACATTAGCAAAGCATTGCAAGAAAAAGCTGAGAACTTGGAAGTACTGAGCTTTTTAAAACCTCCAGCTGGAAAAAGGAACGCTCAGAGCTAATTATTTTAGGTTTTGGGAATCAATTGGCTTCCAATTTCTGGGTTTGAGGAGTTTTTTGTGTGTTTTTTTTTTTCTTTTTCATTTAATGATTGCTTTTCCAATAGTGAAAAGTAATTAGTTCCATGTTTGGACTGTGAATAGATTCCAAAACTAATTTTTAGAGTTTTAAGTTTTAAATTTTGCCATTAATTTTATGGGAGGTTAGGCTTTTTCTTGCTTTTAAAACCAGAATACTAATATTGATGAGTAAACTACAACAAGGTTTATGTTTTTAGCATCCTTTGTGTGTTCACTTTTTGATCTGGATGTATTCTAAGGTTGAGGCCAATGTTGATGAACCAATATTTGTAAAACATGTTAAAATTTTGGAGTAATTTGTACTATATGAGAAGTCTTAATTTGTTATAGAGAGTTTACCACTTTGGGGGCACTTCTACACTACTCGTTTTAGAGCAGCAAAGTAGAATAATGCCTCTTGTGAGGGTACTGCAGCTACTTAGAAGACCATAGGAGGCAGTGCTTTCTGTTTAAAAAAGATAGGCAACTCTCTTAATCAGCAAGTAGAATGCTGAGAAAATAAACAGCCTTTATGTGTTGATATGTAACCTAATGAATAACTGCAGGACTTGCATCTTTCATTTGAAGATTGAGTTCCATTGAGTGGAGCAAGTGGTTTTTGTAGCAGTTCTGAGTGTCTTGCAGGTGACACAGTGGTCCTCAGAGGTCTGAGATAAACGTTTCCCTTAGCTAAGCAACCAGATAACTTCAGGAGGTTCTCCTTTGAAGAAGGTCTGAATGTAGCTACTCCTTACTTGTTTTTCAAGGCTATTTTTTGTTTGAAGGGAAAGCAGCTAGTTAGGCACAATTACATGAAATTACTTTCAGTTGACCTTTGGGACATTTTCTCCAAAACAGGTCAGAATGATCTGTGATGAGATATGAGGCTGGTTTTTGAGCTATATTATTTCTGATTTTCTTTCCAATTTTCAGTTTGTGTATCAACCAGTAAGAGTTGGTTGGTTGAGGATTTTTTTTTGTGTGTGAAGTGGGAGGTAATATAGGGCAAAGGAAATAGGGGAAATATTAAAAAAAAAATTAAAAAATTGACTGCAGCCTTTGGTTATTGTAGTTCTAATATTTTTAAAGTGTTTTGTATTCTATAATAAAGGATAGGTCTTTTTCTTTTTTTTTTTTTTAATGTGTCTTTTTTAGGTACAGTTTTATGACTTTGCTGTATGGGTTCCTGTGCTTGTACAGCAGTTCACTTCAGCCTGTTGCCTTTTTATATTATCGTCGGAAATACCTATTTCTTTGTGTTATTTTTACAATACTGGCTTTACAGAAATTTATTTGACAAGTGGGAAAATGTCTACTCATTGTAATCATGTAACTTAATTTCCAGATCTTCAGTTCATTAGCCAACTTGGCTAAAATCTATAAAATGTACCAGTTCTATTCACTTTGAAGTTTTAGTAGCATTTTTGTTGTCATTGGCAAAGTTTCCACTGTTAGTATTGTGTTCCCGGGAGAGAATTTGTAGCTTGCAAGAAATCTTACTGGTATGCAGACAGTAATATCCCAGGCTTTGTACTGTGCTGTGTTGTGCCATAATAGTTTTGTGTCTGTTTCCATTTGACATCTAAATTAGTAACTTATTGGAATCACTATTTTCCTTTTTAAAACTCTATTTTCAGTCTACCCATGAAAACAAAATTATTTTCTTCTTAGCGGAGATTAATTTGAATATAAAAATCCTGGAGAGATGATTTTCCTGCTCTTTACTCCATGAGAATTTCTTTCTTTTAAAAGAAAAATCTACTGTGGATGACTGGAAGGTGTGATGGCAGTAATACTCTTACATCTTTAAGTGAGACAGTGTATGTAAAACAGGCTTTGATTGTATTACATTGAAAAGAAGGCAGGATGTTGGTTCATGCATCACGTTTGCAAGAGTAAGATGGCACATTTACAAGAGTGAGATGCCCCATGCATCATCTGATTATTGTGCCTCTCTCTGGCTTTGTCAGTTTTACTTTGGGAAATTTTAATTACACTCTTCCTGAATAACTGTAGTTTGTTTTCTGTTGGGTTGGTTTTTGGTTTTTTGTTTGGTTTTTTTTTTTAGATATGTAGCTGTGGAGAGTTATTTATAATATAAGATCAGATATCAACATACATTTTATACTTAGAATGCGCCAAAGGCAATATGTTGACACTGGCATGAGTGTGATTGTATCTGTTCACCTCTGGTATTTCTGAGTCTATTTCGTCTTCAGCGTGAGGTTTGCTGCAAATCCCAACAGAGAATATTTGTATGTTAAAACCAGATTTAGATCATAGAATTAGAATAATCTTGGAATAAAATGGGAAGTTTTCTGCCAATTTGATATGAGAAAAGGCATTTTTGGACTTTGATAAAGTTGAGGAGCCAATGCATGCATCTGGATTGCCGTTTTCTTACCAATTCTTCCCTTTGTTGCAGTTGGTGGGCAAATTCACAGGAATTAAATTACCTCACAAGAATTAAATCACCATTGCTCGTGCAGATCTTTTCTTCCCACCTGTAATCAGTTTTCTTGATTTACAGATGAGGCAGCTGTTAGTACAAATTCTTTCTTCATGTAGATACTGAGTGGGAGGGTAAAAGCACTGTGGCTGTAACTGTATTTCATCATTCTGTTGCTACTATTTGAATTTTTGTTTAAACACAAATGTTGCCCAGAAGGAAAATAGGCTGCATTTGGTAGCTTCAAGAAATAAAGGCAGTACACAAGGCATAGCTAGTTTCTGAAACATTAGAGAAACCCAGTAAAAGGTGAATATCCTAAAAGAAGGGTTAGGCAGCATTTATTTGTGCTTTCGCCCTTGCTGGGCTTTTGTGTTCCCTGCTTCTTTTTTACTTGTGTGCTGGCCCTTACATTTCAGTCGATACAAAATCAGGCAATCAGAATTGCTGCTAAAATAACTCTGAAGGTGTAAACCTGCAATAAAAGTTGTCTTAATCTGACATGTGTAAAAACACTCATGAATTCTGCTTAAAAGTAAATCAACAATAAATTCTTAATATATGCACAACCACAATGTATGAAATATTCAGTATATGCGGAATAAATATATTATTAATATTTTTTTTCAGCTAAAACCATGATACAGTGTTCTCCTGTCCAATCTTTTCCCTTTTATTTCCTTTTTACCCCCTAAATATATTCAGACCCTTTTTTCTGAGATGGTAGATTTATTTTTTTTTCTGTTTTGTGAAGGAAGAACATGTTTTCTGCACCTGGGAAGAAAAATAGTTTTTCTTCCAAAATACTTGAAAGCAACTGTCAAACATCTGATTCTATTAACGTTGCTTTTCTTTGGGCTTTGCATTAGGAGTGGGAGCCCAGCTTGTTCGCTTAGTGAATTTTCTTATTCAGCCACTGATTTGAGAACTGCTTCACGTGGTAAGAGATGGTAGTGTTATTGCATTAAGAAGTCATTAATTTTAGGCTGTCTCTTGTTTGTCTAGGTTTTTAGCCCGTTTTTTGGTAAAGATGGCAGCCAACAATGCAGTGCTGAACAGACTGGAGCAGAAGGGTGCAGAGGCTGATCAAGTCATTGAGTACCTCAAGCAACAAGTTGCTCTGCTCAAGGAAAAAGCTAGTAAGGAATTATCTTTCTTATGATAAACCTATTAACCAGGTGGTTAACAGTAAATGCTCATAGGAGAAAATGAGAACATTGGTGCTGTCAGCCTTTTAAGTGTGTTTCAAGTTCTCCAAGATAAACCTTGTGATAGAAGCTCGACTTCACTGTTGTGATTTGTGGGGGGTTTTTTGAAGCTGCTTATTCTGAAATATAAAAGGTATGGATAAGGAAGAATTAATGGCACAAACAGATGATGGAAATTTGATAGGACATGACTCCACTTGAAGGGAGAAAGGGAGTTGGAAGACTATAAGACTGTGCAGTATCCTGAATGTGTTACTGCTTTTTCACAACTATAGGATTCTCTCAAGAGTATCATACCTTCAGCTATGATATTTTGTATTTAACTGTATCAGTGAATTAAGATGTGCTGTATTACAAACATCTTCAAGGTTTTTCTAATAGGTTTCTTGGAGTTTTTTCTTGTGATTCTGTTTAGGGTACCGAGGAAATAGTCTATTGAGAGGCAATTTGATTACATGAGTGTTGTACAAGTGGCTATTTCAACAACAAAGAAGAGGATTCCAAAGTGTTTCTGATGACAAACCCCTTTTTTGCTATTTGACTCACCATGTTTCACTTTCCTTTAAACGGTCATTTTTAATGTGCCAACTCTAGTCTTGCAGGCATCTCTCCGCGAAGAGAAAAAGCTCCGTGTGGAAAATGCTAAACTGAAGAAGGAAATTGAAGGGCTGAAACAGGAGCTGATTCAGGCAGAAATCCGAAATGGAGGTGGGGAAAAATGTCCTATTCTCATACAAAGTAGATGTAGTTAGCAGAAAATGTGATCAAAACTATCTTAATTCTACTTGATTTTTATCTTTCTCTGTGACTCTGTGGCATTAGTCACAAATTCTGGATTTTCCTATGTTCCATGCCTATGACAAGTTACTTAATTCCAACATTTTAATAAGCTGCAAGTCTAACAGGTACATACACCAAATGTAATCAGGCATGGAACTAGTTCTGTGTATTTTTTTGTTCAGTCCCTTTCATAATAAGCCCTGAATCTGACTGATGACAGTGACTCCTTTTGATACCTTAGAAATTGCTGAATGTCTAATGCTTCTTGATACTATGAGTATCTAATCTAGCATGACTGCAAAATCACCATGGAAAATCAAGCCACAATGCAAAGTACAGATAGCCAGTGACTTATTAAAAAAACTGTGGTAATGTAAAATTAGAAACAATGTGTTTTGAATTTATGATTCCATGCTTTAGTAAGACCAGCCTTCCATTGGGCTTTCTCTTTCTTTACACTCCTCTGTGTACTTCTGTTCAGCTTGCGCCATCGTATATACTTCATATTAAAAAAGAAAAGAGAAAAAACCCCAAAACTGAAATGTTTCAGATCCACTGTGTTGTCTTTAAAATTATTTCCAAAAAAGTCTCTTTTGCCCTCAACAGCTATTGCTATTTTTACCCAGGCTGTCAGTATTGTAAATTGTTTGAGATAGTATCCAATGTAGCTGGATGCTAGCATTCAACTGTACTGAATGTTTTACTGGTAAAAACAACACATTCAGTCTTCAAAAAGATTAACATGTTGTAAATACAGAGAATTCTTTTCCTCTGTTGGGGACCAATAAAGCCCTTTCATGTACTAAACCAAACCATTAGTTTATATTTCTCTGTTGTCTGTTAGTCTGCAGCAGTTCTTGACAGGTATAGGGTATTTCACAGAATCTGTTGTGCTTCAGAGAGGTCTTAAGGTGTGTTGATCCAAGATGGGAAAGGAAATTAATACTTAGCTTGATATTCATCTTCTTTTATTTAGCCAGTTTATTTAAGTGATAGTAGGCCTAAATTCAAATATTTTCTTTTGAGGTAAATAGAAGATATATGTTACTTTGGAAGTACTAAGTAGTTGAGCACAGAAATTAAACAGTCACAGTACATCAAAAATATCATGAGATATTTTTCTGAAAATCTGAGAAACAGAGACTTTCCACAACTAGCAAGCAAGTGGTTGTTGGTACAACAAATCTCATACTTAAATGGTTTTAGACAGTTGTTTATAAGAATATAATTTGTGCAAATCACTTTAGTGTTGAAGAGAGCAAGCATCAACAAAGTGCGTGCAGTTCTTCAGGAAAGTCAGTGTCTGAAATGCAAAAAGAAACATATATGCAGAATGGAGAACTGTATTATATTGACACTAGAAGAATTTGTCAAACAGTCATTAATCATAGAACAGCCTGAGTTGAAAGGAACTTCAAAAGATCATGTAATCTATGCTTTCTTGGGAAAGGGAGCCTTGATGATACTGTCTAGTGCACAAATGATGCTTACCCAGCACAATCATTACGTAAAAAGCCTTAGTGAGATTCTTGAAGAGCAGACTGTAGAAGAGAGGTGATTCTTACCCTTTCATCTGTAAGACTGACAGTGAGGTGATGTCCAGAATTCTATATCAGCAGTTTAAAAAGAACTATGAAGGTCATATGGAGAATTTAGGAAAGGGAAGTGAGAAATTGACAAATCATGTTAGGGCTGCAGGTAGTTTCTTAGAATGTGGTTATTCAGGCTCAGTTTCTGAAGTTAATCAGAAAAAAGAGTTGAGGAGTGATCTGAATACAATATAAAAGTGATTTTATGCATAACTCATTTATGGAATAGTCTCCAGTATGACAAGAGCTAGTAGCTATAAACTGAAACTAGACAAACACAAATGGGAAATAGAGAATTGGGAGCAAAGATAACTAGATGTTGAAATAAACTACAAAAAGAAGTGATCTTTGCTTACATGTTCTCTTATGTTTAGCACTTTTTCCCATTTAAAAAATGTGTCGTCAAATGTTTGTTCTTAACTGATCATAATAATCATATATAGATTGAGTTCTGAAACATGTTCTGTAATGTGCTTCACTACTCAGCAGTTGTGGTTTAGGTATTTTAAGTAAAATTTTCAATTCTCTCTGCTTTTTTATTTATATTGGAAACTTAAATATGTTGGTGTTCGAAGTTCTGGTACTCCTCCTAACTTCTGTGGTTTTTTAATTTTAGTAAAGCAGATTGCAGTTCCTCCTGGTACAACCATTTCTACAGCTTCATTTTCAAATGATGTTCCACAACCTGCAGCAGTTGTATCATCTCCTGGTTCCAAAGATCAAATTAGAGGTGAAGATGAAGAAAAGAAAAAGAAAGAAAAAGTAGAAAAAAAAGGTACTTCACTTTTCTTACCTGTGATAGACAGTTAAGGTATTTAACTTATACAAGTGCTTTTGCATCATTTTGGGCACAGAAAAAATACCTTTCATACAGCTACAGTAGGAAAAGTCATGTGCTAGCTCTTAAATCTTGAAAGTACTTGAAGCTAATGAGAGCTGCCACGTAAGCTACAGATTCTTCCTTAAATGGGATACATGCCAAATGTTGTTTAATGTGACTGAAGTTCCTTATTTGAAAAAAAATCAGCAACAACAAAAAACAAGGCATGTCTGTTGGACAGTACTTTTGTGCAAGTGCATCTTGTATCTTAAACTCATGTTTTACAATCATTCTCTATGCAAATTTTTATTGATTTGCTATGAATAGATTTGTACAGCTTTTCAGAATTTGGATATTATGCTGATAGTGCGTTGAACCTCGTGTTTTTCTGGTGCGTTGTTCATAGGCTGTTATAAGCTATTTTATATTTTTTGATGTACTACAGCCTTTGACACATAATATTCCACAGACGCAATATTCCAGAGAGCTGTAAATATAAAAGCAGAGGCCACGTCATATCAGACAATTAACTGTTTTCCTCAAATATTCAGTGGCTACAAGTATTCAATTGGTAATGAAAAATAAAACTTCCTTATATATGATGAGAAATACAGTGACTTAAATATGGAAAGCAATCTATTTGACATTTTCCTTCCAGTGACTGTATTTAGAAAAAGGTGCAATACAGCATGAACATTAAATAGTAGCCCTGAACAGGCTATTTCTGTGGAGTTCAGCATCTCTTGTAGGTATAGTATTTAACAATTGAAGTAACCAATATGTAAAATTCATTTTTTAGTCTTGAAATTGATGAAGTGATGTAATATCTCAAATCCTTTTGCTTTCTGTCACCTATCTCATCTGTTTCTTCTCTGGTTATACTCATATTCTTTGTTCCATTTCTTGCAAACCTCATCTGTACAACTTCTCTGGGTATTGATTCTGGACTGACTCCAACACTGGCCAGAGGAGTGCATTTTTCTCCTTAGCCTGGGGCTTTGAAATGGATGTTTTCTGTGTATCTGTATATATATGCTATTGTAGTGGTTTGACCGTGGCTGGATGCCAGATACCCACTAAAGCCTCTCTCTCCCTCATGGGTTGAGATAAGAGCTGAGAGAGGTCACTTACTGATCACCATCATGGGCAAAACAAACTCAAAGTGGGGATATTAATTGAATTTATTACTAACTATGTCAGAGCAAAAGAGTGAGAAGTAAAATAATCTTAAAAACACCTTCCTCCCACCTCTGCTTCCTTTCATGTTCTCCCTCCTCCCCCCCAGCAGTGCAGTTGTTGTTTCTGCCGCTGCTCAGGGAGAGGAGTCCTTTCCCTGCTCCCATGGGATCCCTCCCACAGGAGACAGTCCTTGATGGACATCTCCAACAAGTCCATCCCTCGGTTCCTCACGAGACTGCTGTCCCGTGGGTCACTTCTCCATGGGGTGCAGTCCTTCACAAATGAGCCGTACCGACGTGGATCCCCCATGAATCCTACCCAGGGAAAACTTGCTCCAGTGTGGGCTCCTTTCTCCTTGGACTGCAGGTCCCCAGCAGGACCCTGCTCCATCTTGGGCCTCCCACGGGGTCACAGCCTTCTTCAGATATCCACCTGCTCCAGCATGGGCTTTTCCCTGGGCTGCAGGTGAGTTTCTGCACCCTGATGGTCCTCCCTGGGCTGCAGGGGCACAGCTGCCCCACCATGGTCTTCACCACGGGCTGGAACTCTGGCGCCTGGAGCACTCCTCCCCCTCCTTCTGCACTGACCTTGGTGTCTGCATTGTTGTTCACGTGTTCTCACTCTGCTGTTCCCTGGCTGGAATTCTTTCTGCGCAATAACTTTCCATTCTTAAATATGTTATCACAGAGGCATTACTATCATGCCTAATTGGATCGGCCTTGGCCTGCAGCAGGAATTCTGTCCTGGAGCCGGCTGGCATTGACTCCACCAGACAGGGGCAGCTTCTAGCAGCTTCTAACCGAAGCCACCCCTGTAGCCCCCCAGCTACCAAAACCTGGCCACAGAAACCCATACAGCCATGTACACATTTGCTGTGTTCTCTTTTCCTTATTCAATGACAGGCTTCATTCCTCTTGTAGAGAAACGTCACAGAGAACAGTGAGGAATGATACCAATGTTAAAGTTAACAGGTCTTTCAAATTATCTTAGATAGTATATATTAACTATTTTGATTTTTTCCCCCCCCAGTTTCTCTTTAATTATTGTATATATGATTGACGACTATATCAATAAAAACAATTACATTAAAAATACCCAGTTATAAACACTAGAGCTTTTCATTCATCATATATAAACTAAAATATTTTTGAAGAGCTATTGCTTATATTAAAAAAATACTGCCTTTTTATTACTGAATGCATTATTTAATTTCAAGCCTGTACTAGAACAATGATGAATGAATCAAATTGTGTGCTGTTTCTACTTTTCCTTTTTTGTTCCCTAAAGTAGGGAGTTTATATATTAATATATGTAAGCTATCTTGGATGAAAGAATAGCAGAACATACATTTTAAAGCACATTTTAGGCATTTCTTATCTCCCAGAGATTATAGTTGTTAAACAAATCTTGAATGTCTTCTAAACAGGAAGTTTACATACTTCGTTATGTACATACGTGCAAACAAACTGGATGTCACTTGCTCACCTTGAAAGGAATATCTAAATAGGCAGTTGAGTATGAGTAGTGCTGCTTCACTGTAATTTTATACTATACAGTGTCTTTGGGTGATGATCATGGGTAAAGACTCCACATCAGGGCAACCTTATAAACCATGAGAATTTTCACATACTAGTATATTTGGGAAGTGAAGAATGTTAGCTGAGGTTATCTTGAAGAGTTGCATTGCGGCTGTTACAGTGCGGTTGCAGTGACTTCACAGCTCCTGACTGTGAACAAATGCTCTTAAGCATTAGTAACCTGATGAATTGTGGTTGTCTGGTTTCCCTTTGCTGGTGAAACACCATGGAAGTGCTTACTGGTGGTAATTGCTGATTATTAAAACAAGACTATCAGGCTTTTGATATGGCCTTTGGCAGAGTGTATATGTCACTTACATACAAGTTAACTACACTTAAGTTCAGGATGGCTTCACTTTACAAACAGGAAAATACCTCTGTCCTACAGTGGTAATTACTTGGGGTATCAATCTAAATTGAAGTGTGTATGATGATTCACCACTGGAAACTGGTAATAGAGGTGCTATCTCTTTACTCTTTTTTTCAGTTTTACACTGAATTTATGCTTATTTCTGAGACTGTAGCTCACTTTTCCCTTGCAATAGTCATGTACATTAGTTGTACTTTTTTAATGTTTATTTCATGAACAAAACTTTCTTTAATAGGTGAAAAGAAGGAGAAGAAACAGCAACCAGCTGCTGGAAGTAGTGATGCGAAACCTGTAGATGTTTCTCGTCTGGATCTTCGTGTTGGCTGCATTATCACTGCTGAAAAGCATCCGGATGCAGACACTCTGTATGTTGAACAAGTGGATGTTGGTGAAGGAAGCCCGAGGACTGTTGTCAGTGGTTTAGTGAAGCATGTTCCTCTGGAAAAGGTATTGATAAAATTATTCACTGAGAGCTTTTCCTTTCCTAAAGTATCTTAAGATCTTCATCTGTTTTTAGGATAGGTTTTCATTCTGTTAAAAGATTAATACAGTCATGAAAACAAAAATAAAATGCAGATGGAAGTAATGCTTAACAACATTTGCCAGAAAACAGAGAAGTACCCTTACCCCAAATTAGTTCCTTTCTGCTTGCAGTGTTTCTATCCTGGGATCTTATTCTGATTCCTCCACTATTGGTACACAGTGGGCTCCTAAACCAAACAGATGTGACTTTCCCTTTAGGTTTCCTACTATGTAGTAGAGAAATCATAACTTTTTTTGCTATGATCCAAACTTTTGAAACCTTTGCCTTCCAATTCTCTTTTATAGCCTCTTGAAATATTTGGCATGAAGTAAAGCAAAGAGCATGTAAATTTAACTTAGCTGGCAATGAGTAGCTTAAACAACAGTGGAATACAAAATGCATATTTTTACTTCCTTGTACGGAACAGAATCTGCCACTATGCTCTTTTTAGTTGATACTCTTTTGTGTTTGACAGGCATAGTTTATAGATGCCTTGTGAACGACCTAAGGCTTCAAGATTAAATCCTCCTTTCACACCTCTTTTAGAGGGTGGGAGGAGTTGACTGAAGGCTGCTTCTAAATTCAGATGCAAACTTGGCATTTAAAACAGTGTTGTGTAGAGCAACTGCAAAATGGATCATGAAGAAATTGATCTTAGCGTGGAAAAGCTACACTTTGTCAAATGTCTTTTCAATCCCTATTCACTCTCTGTCCCCATGGTAAAACTGCAAATGTAGGAGGCAATTAAAATTGTAATGGTTGTTTTTATGCTACAGAAAGTTATTGAACCTAAAAAAATATAACAGTAAAATAATACTGTAACTACTCTGCACTGATCACCTGATAGCGTCCAGTTACTGATACGCAGTGGGCAAAATTTGAAATTGCTCATTTTTAGCAGTCTGCTTTCAAGAAAGTGTGTAGAAAAAAAAATCTTAAAAGCTTTTCTAAATAGACTTACAAACATGAAGTGTCTACAACAAAATGGCAGTTAAGTGTCTTTTCTCTTTAACCTTCTTTCACTTTGGAAAAATAATCTGAAGTACTCATTAACAGAGAATTAGGGATCATCCTCACATGTTCTTTGAGAACACTTGATTTGCGTGTCTGTTTTTAGTTTTGGCAAGTCTCTATTAAGACAGTAAATTCTTAGGGGCAAGATTCCATCTTTTTGTGTTTTTTTGAAGTGTTCAAAAATGGCATGTGTCTACTGCCATATATTTAAATAAAAATGTATCCATCAGATCAAGCACTGTAGCTATAATTCACAAAAAATTCATCTGTTCATGATTTCATTGTTTGATGTGGTAATTTAGCAGTGTTTGAGGCTGTAGTATTTGTATCATCTGATGTTACTTTTGGTTAGGAAGCACAGTATGTATCTTCACTAACATTTCAGTAAGCAGTGCGAGTTATTTATGGGTGTTAAAACTTCTTGCATGCCTACTTTATATGTGATATGCTGTGGTTTTGTTCACATGGTGCTGAAGCCACGTCAGCAGTTGCACCCTTAAGTATCGTGTACAGATGTGTCATCAGTAACAGGGATATGGAAGGATATTGGCATGAGATGGACCATGCCAATGCTGAGCTCGAAAGAGCAGCAGCTGGGGACAGTTGGAGAACTGTCAGTTGAAATATCAGTAGGAATTGACAGCTCTTCTGCCACTGCATTTGGCTTTTTGAAGTGGATCTCTGTGTGTTCCTGGTGTCAATACCTGTGTCAGGCAATCATTCTTGAAATGCAGACAATTCTCAAGTGTCGCTTTTTGAAACCTCCTAAAATCCCCTTTAATCTAAGAGAACCTCATCTCACTGATTAGAAGTGAAGGACAAAAATGCAGGACATGTATCTTAAACTTAGCAAGAAGAGGAAAGGCCACTGTTGGCCTCCAGAAACACTGTTCTACAGCTATTCATTGCAAGAGGGTACATTACAATTATATCTGTTATGAACTATATTGTCTGATTTTTATAGCGGTAACTCCTTTTTTCCACTTAGATGGCTTGAATTTTTTTGTGTTGTCCATGCAGGAATTAACAAGTACTGGAATTTGTTTCTTTCTCTTAGATAGAAAGGTGATAATATTCTTTATACATACTCCTAATCTTCTAATTTTCTTGATCTAGTCTGCAGAGAGAACCTGTTTCTAAGAATCCTAAAGAACAATGCCTAAATCATGACTGTGAACTTACTGACGCATTCTGTGTGATGTGAGACACCCTTCTTAAAGAAAACCACTTTTTTCCTTAGCTTTTGTAGCATTCTGCTTCAAGGCTATATTAAAATCTACTGTTTCTTTTCAGACATGAAGCAAATAGAAATATCTATTACCAAACTTGTAACTTGTGTTTGCTGGCGAATTTAAGATCCAGAGAAACATGCAATAGATTGAGGATGGCTTTTTGTTGCTGTTGGCATTTCAACTTGCTCTGGTTTTAGAAGAATCAGCATATTGGTTTTAATTGTATTCACTAGCCATTGCAGTCTGTCATGGAATCTTATATTGAAATATATTTGGCTGATAGTTAGTTTTACAGGCAACTTCAAGGATTATCTAAGAAAAAGAACAATTTAACACTTGTGCTTCAACTATAAGGCCTTGGCTTTTCTGTATGGTAAACTTTGGAGTTCACTTTTCCTCATTTTAGTTTCTTTGCCTTATTTCTCCTCTTTCATCCCTCTTGATTCTACCAATGTTTTGGGAAAATACATAGTTTCATTCTGCATATGAAGTAGCTATGTGTCCAACAACTGCACCACTACACATTTTTGCTGAAACTAAATCAGTTTCTTACTAGTTGAGTTGTCAGTTTTGAAGTTCCTGGAATTCTGAAACGAAGCATTGACTCTTCAAAAGGCCCGCAGAGGTTGTGACTGTTTCAAGGATATTACATTTGCATTTCTTTTGCCTATTCTCAGCTCATTTATTTACCAGAGATCTCTGGAGATGACAGGCCTTACCAGTTCCTTGTGGACATAGACTTGCCTCTGTTTGTGACCTTTTGAGTGTAGGGATTTGTCTTAGTGTTCTTAACTAGAATTTGCTTCACTCAACATACGCGGAACAAAACATACACTTACTGTTTATCACCTGCTTTTCAGTAACACCCTGTATTTCTGATAGAACTTCTCATGTACTGAGAAAGGGAGTCAGGTTTTTTCCTTTTTTTATTTTTTACTTTCTTTTCTTTCTGCTCAGTCTTATCTGTCAGGAAACTACCCAATTTATTTTTGCAGTTACTTTTGAAAAACTAGATTTTGTTTTGTTCCTCTACAGAGTTACAGAGAGCGACCAGTAGAATTCAGCAGAATAACTGGATCTGACTCTTAGTAGCTGACACATTTCAGGGTTTTATTTGCCATATACTTTAAAAAAAAATCTCATAAGAGCAATGCGGGTAGAATGATACCTGAACATTACTTTCCTTGGTGGTTCATAAACGAAATTTTTTTAGCTTATTATGCACAGATACAAAAAGTCTGCTTTTGTAACTGATGCCCTATTTTCTAGAAACATTACAAGTAAGTTCCTTCTATAAAACTAGCACAACCAGTTAAAAAAACCCCCAAAAACCAAAATCCCAAAGTAAAAACTTTTGCATTGTTTGGAAGCATTTATTGAGGTCTAGTTACTTTTTTGCTTCTTTACTTAGGGTATAGTCCTGTATCTGAAGATATTTTAAAAATTGAGCCATTTTTAGTAAAAAGTGAAAAAAACCAAGCTCAAAATCAGTGTTCTAGTTTCGGACGAACATCTTGGGGTGGATTTTTCTTTTTGTTTTATAAAATAGTTATTTTACCTTGTGGGTTTTCTTACCATTTATTTGTGAAATCAGTGCATATATCTTAGTATTAGAGCAGTTTTTCAAAAGCGTTTGAAGATACTTCCAGGTAAAAGTGATGGAATACTCAGTGTTTGAAATGTTCATAAATACTTGTTTATTTAAGAATAGGAATCTTTTCATGCAGAAATTTCATGGAGTATATATAAACATTTGGGCCGTTGTGATAGGAGAGAAAGGAATGATGCGATGCTAGTTTTGTCTTCTGTTAATTTGATAAAGATGATGATGTCCATTTCTGCATTAATGCAGTCTGGTTTGTCAATTGTATAATCTGTAATAAAAAAGCAATGTTCTAAAGTCCAGAATTTTTTCCAGTTAATCAAAACTAAAGTTGAATACCAAATGCAGAAATCTTGCTTTTTTTATTATATATATCCATTCACTAATTGTTATTCAGTGCTAAATAATGCTACAATTTGCATTTAAGTAACTGACATGTTACAGCTGTTTCTCGTGTTTTGGGCTATTTATATCCGTAGCAATAACTCTAAAATATTTTCAGTCAATGGGCTGCCTTGGAACTTATGCAAGATCAACTTTTCCTTATAACTACTTTGTTTTGTTTACCTATATTTTTGCTTTTTAAAGTGTTCTACTTGGAGAATATATGATCAAATATTTTAAATATTGCATGAGTTTTATTAATTATTAATCCTGCAGGTTTGGTTTGAAGTTTGTATTGTAATGCACAAAGACCAAAATCTAGAAATATGAAATAGTAAAAATAATGTGCACTAGTAGCATGGGAATTAATACATCCTTGCTTTATCTCTTAAGAATGTTCAGGGTTTCATTTTTAATAAGTTTGAAAGAGTAGTTTGTTATGTAGTCTAAGGCGTGGCAGTTTTCTATAACAAAGTATGTTGTCTCATTTACTATTATAATTTTTAATAAATTAAAACAACGAAGGGAGAAACCTATTTTTACAGGCTTGCTCTAACAAACTGCAATGTACAGCATATACAGCCATTTTCAGTGGTTAAAAAAAATTCAAAGGTTTTGGGTTGAATAAGTGTTTAAATTAAATTTTAGATGGAAGTGAGCTCATTACGTAAAACAGCTATACGCTTCCAATAGACAAATTGGAATTTTTGCCTGTGAGCTAGCCTAATTCGTAGAGTGTTTTTGTTCTTATTAAATAGAAATTGTTTGATTAATATTGCTAAATTGAAAGTGGACTGAAATGGAGGTCTAGAATGAGTAAAGATGGAATGCAGGTGAAATGCTTCACCTGGTTTTTGGATTTCTGAATTCCATATTTTATATTTACGTGATAAGTATGTCACATTTTGGCATTTACTCCATTATTCATTGGCCAGCTCTTAGGTGGTTTAAATGTTATTTGTTACTGGTGTCCAGGCATTAAAATTGTGAAACTGTTGCACATGCTTCTCTCATGCTTCTCGTGTCATGTTCAAATCTCTTCATTGTAATTCTTTTGTTATAATAAAATAATGGGAGTTCCCAAAAACATGTGGCATCTTAGGTACACATATCCTTCTGTTTTCCTCCCCCAAGATGCAGAATCGGATGGCAATACTACTCTGTAACTTGAAGCCTGCAAAAATGAGAGGAGTAGTATCGCAAGCAATGGTGATGTGTGCCAGCTCCCCAGAAAAGGTGGAAATTCTAGCACCCCCCCCTGGAGCAGTACCTGGGGACAGAATCACTTTTGAAGGTTTTCCTGGTAAGTAGGTATTCAGGAAAATGGTGAAACCACATATGCCAAGGTGACTTCATAGTTGACGCACATAAAACAGCTTTTTAAAGCTGGTTGTGTTTGTTGTTGAAATTTTCTGAATTAGTTATATTAATATTTTTTATTCTTAGTGTGCTAATATTGTGTAAATGAAGGATTGAAAATACTTAACCATCTGTCAAAAAATTGTAACTTGAAAAATTGTATAGAACTTAAATGTAAAATACCCAGCTCCCTTAAGTCGCAGTAAGTATTTCAGCTTTTGAAATGTGCGGATAAATGTATTTGCACTTTGCAGGTTACAATAAGCAAATGTAAAGCATCTTTCCCTGTGTCTCAGGGCAAGTGTTGAAGTCATAAGTTCTTCATTCCAGCTTCTCTCTATTAAGGAAAGTGTCAGAACTTCAGGTAGCTTTTTTTTTTTCTTGAGGAAGAAGGGATAAGAGAGGATAGGTGTGGGGGAGTGGAAATCTGTTCATGAGAGAAGCCTGTAAGATTCAAAACACCAGGGTTTGTTAGTTTATCTGGGAGGAAGTGTCTTTTTAGGTCCCAAAACACAGACATTGGGCTTCTTCCCACTTAATTAAATCAATAAATCCATTTTATTTTCAGACTATAAATAAGAACTTAATCAAATTTAAACTTTCTCAAAAGATGATTTTCATCCTTTTTTCCACCTCCCTCTTGACTAGGAAATGATTAGTTTCTGACTGCATTTTGGGAACTCAGGCATCATAGGTGTAGCATACTGGTGAATGCTTCCTCCTAGCCAATGAATGCCAGTTCATTATTATCACAGTCAGGCAGATCAGCTTCTCATTGCTGTATTGTTAGCACTGTTATTTTTATAATGGTTATAGGTGTTTTCATCAGGAGGTACTGGTCCACTAGGATTCCAGTAAGAAGGGCACCCAGACTCTGTAAAGTGTCATTTAAAGTGGTGTTTATTGAAGCTGATCCTGAAAAGAGGGACTAGTATAAATAATCTTATGTAGCACAGATACAACCTCCTTTCTGCTTGAAAGGAGGTTGTAGCCAGATGGGTGTCGGTCTCTTCTCCCAGGCAACCAGCAGTAGGACAAGAGGGCATGATCTTAAGCTGTGCCAGGGGAAGTTTATGTTGGATATTAGGAAGAAATTTTTACAGAGAGAGTAATCAGTTATTGGAATGGGCTGCCCAGGGAAGTGGTGGATTCACCGTTCCTGCAGGTTTTTAAGATGAGATTGGATGTGGCACTTAGTGCCATGGTCTGCTAACCATGGCAGTGTTGGATCGAGGATTGGACTTCATGATTTCGGAGGTCTTTTCCAACCCAGTTGATTCTGTGATTCTATGAATGCACATACAGCAAGCTGTGTACTCTCTGTCCATGAGGAGAGTTTCCCCTCTTTTGGTATTTCGAGCTATTGTTGTATTTTCTGACATATTGCGACTGTCAAGCAGAAAGGAAGTTCATGTGAGAACTTGATGCTTCCCTGTTCCCTAAAGGTGAGGATACACAAGTGGCTCAGTTGCTGGTACCATGTGGGAGCTACCTGCAGGCTCCTCTGTTACAATCAGCTGCTTAGATTTATCCTGCACCCTAGGAATTTGTGCAGCATAATCCAAGCCCAGACCTACTCAGGTCAACTGTTACGATCACAGAAGTCATGATGAATAGGGCTCTTCTGGTCAGGATAACTGCATCACTTTAGCTTAAAAAAGAAAGTGGTCTAACTCCCAGTATTTACCATACTGGGTAGAGTTGTCTCTGCGTGCATTTATCAACAAAGTATTCATCTTCAGGATGAATTTGTTGCTCAAAAGTTGGCTTTCACATGTGAGAAATGGTGTAGCTTTCTATTTTCTATATAGAACCATATTAACCTTTTAAAGCTATTGCACCTCTGACAATTTCTAGCTGTACAACAGTGTTTTTATTTATGAACCTCTTGGCAAGCTGTATGTCCCTGAGAATAGCTCAGTTGTTCAGAGAATGGTGCTAATAACGCCAAGGTTATGGGTTTGATTCCCATACGGACCATTCACTCGAGTTGAACTTGATGATCCTTGTGGGTCCCTTCCAACTCAGAATGTTCTGTGAAATCTGTGAAATTTTGCATGAAATACCTTTCATAAATACAAATGTATATAGGTATTTTTAAACTTCTTGTGAGTGAAACTGTGATGCTCTAAAAAATGTATTTTGGTTGGAATATGATAAAGGAAGCAATGCTCTATCTAAGGTGTCTATGAAACAGAAGTGTACCTCAGCTTGGTGTGATGTTATGCTCCAATTGAAAATACTTTAAATAATACTGTATTTAAGAAGGAAATCAGTCTGGCAGCTTTATTTTTTCAGTTTTAGTTTCCTGTATTAAAAATATACCAAGCTTACTAGCTGAGATGCAGAATGGCTAAGCTATACTGAGATCTTAAAGCCTTCAGCAGTTGCATTGACTAAATTGTAGGAATACTCATAACTTCTAGTAGTTATCTTTAGTAAAGATAGATTAAATGTTGAATGTGTGACCTTTTTTACATGCAAGGATACACTCATGGTGCTTTCTACTGCTGTGGAAATGGATGTGCAAGAGAGAGCATCAAATTGTAGAGTAAACATTTGTAGAGCATAAGGCCTGCAAAATGATATACAAATTAACCTAGACATGTGGCATTTTTGAGGGGTGGAGGGTCTTTTGTTTGCTTTTGTCTAAGATATAGCCTTACTCCAAGCTTATATCTCAAGTAGCTTTGTATACTTGGCATTTGAAAGTAATGTGAGAGCAGGTAGTAGTGCTATTTTGCATTGTGTGCTAGTATACGAGTTCACCAGCATATCTGTTCTTGCACATGAGTAATGAGGTAAGTTTTATCTAAGTAATTGACCTGTTTAATTCCGGTTGTTTTTGGTTGGGTGTTTGGTGGGTTTTTTTACAGTGGCAAAAAACTTTTCCTAGAGCAAATCAGTTATAGAAAATTTCTCCTAAATTATTCCCATGCGTTAAGGTATACAGACGTTGTGTTGACATTTTGATTCTTAAAAGGCATAGAATAAGCTAAAGGTTGTATATAAGTTGTACTAATTCTGAAGTTATGACCTGCAGCCAGTGATACCAAGGTTTTGTATGCTTTGTATCAGTTCCCTTCTCACAGGGAGCCAAAGACATGAAGCTCTGATAAGGGCCAAATGTAGTCTTTTACAACCCCTTTGCGAAGTGTATATATCCAGGGCTATAGATTGTAGTCTGAAATATGGCAGCTGTTTCCTAATATTTTGTAAAGAGCTGCTCAGAAACAGTTATAGGGGTGAGACTAAAGCTAATAATTGACTTTGAAAATATACCTAATGCTTAATAGTACAAAGTAGAGTGATCTGTCTCCTACTTACATAAAACTTACTTCAAAGAATTTTAAGACTTGTGATTTTATTATCTTGAAGTGAGTAGAAAAATGCAAGGAAAAAAAGCACTGGTGGATGGAGACTTAGAAAATCACACTGACATCTGCCTCTAACTTTATTTGTTGTTTACTTGTCTTTCGCATGTTACTGTTGTTAACACGGTTCTTTGATAAAGTTTTTGTTTGCTTTAGAGTTTTTAATTTCTTTTGTCTAGGAACTAAGATTGTTGCCATTTACCTTCTTGTCCGGGTGATTAACAACACTTTGGTTGGTTGAGGTTTTTTCTGGTTTGTTTTTTTTTTGTTTGTTTGTTTGAGTTGGGGTTTTTGTTTTGTATGGGGTTTTTTGTTGTTGTTTTGTGGGTAGTTTTTTGGTGTGTTTTTGTGTATTTTGTTTGGCTTTTTTGTTGGGTTTGTTTGGTTTGGGGTTTTTTGTTTGGTTTATTGTTTGGTTTTGTTTGGGGGTTTGTTTTGTTGGTTTTTTATATTGCTGAGGTGAAGAAACTTATTGAGAGACTGGAAAACTGTTTCTAAATTTTTAATGGGATTGTATGTCTGTATCTTCTAGTCACTCACCTTTTCTGTGCGAAAATCTCCCTCTTCTTAGCTGCTCTCACCTTAAAGATCATCTGGCACTTCACTGATAGTGTTATGAGGAGGGTAGACTCCTTGCTATGTCAGATGTCATTTAACTTCACTGCTTAATTCTAACCATTTTTCTAACCATAACAACCAAATATTTTTAGAAGAGTAATTTTAAAGCATAAAGATTTAGTTTGAGTACTCGAACTTGAAAGAACAGATGGGTCTTATTTTATTTTGAAGTATGAAAGCCTATGAAGTAACAGAAGCACCAGCAGCAACAATTACAGCAACTCTAAAACACACACACAGCTGTCTATCAAGCAGCTTGGAATCAAGTCATTTTTAACCCTTTTCTCTCCACGGTACAAAGTATTCATATGAGATACAGACTAATTTGCTTTGGCCATTTTAGTCAAAGTAAACAAATGGTATCTTGTTGCAAACTGATTAAACTTTTCTGCAGCAACTGGAGAGTTTTCCTAAAACCATCGTGAGTGTTATAGAGGAGTGATTTGATAAGCAATGCTGTTGCCTGGAGGAGTGTTCTTTGTTTTTGTTTATTTGATGTTTTTGCCCTTAGTGGAACTTTAACACTGTTTCATGCTCTAGTACATGAATCTTCAAGATCTGTTGTTTTGGGGTTTTTTGCATTAAGAGCTTTCTCAAACTTTTATTCACCTTTAGCAGAAAAGGTTTGATTTTTAAACCACAGACAAATGATTCCATTGTATGTCTGTAGATACTATAACCTCCTATTCAGTAATTGCCGTAAGACAACAATAATGCTTGTCTATTTCAAAGCTACCTGTGAAATCTTATTTCTGATAGCAGTATAATTGATGCTTCGATGCCAAAGGAACCAAAAATCCTTTAAGTTGTATAATTAAATTATCGTTCTGGTCTAAGAATCACTGGCAATTTAGTTAATTACTGTCTCTTTAAAAAAGAAAAAAGTGGTAAAACTGGAGTGCGATGGTTAGCCTGTAGTTAGCAGGTTTCTTTAATCAAAGAATGACTTTGATGCATGGATGTTTTCCGTGACTTTCATAGTTATAGTCCACAGTGAGGTAAGTGGCATTAATTTTTCATAAATTCGCACATCCCTGTGTCCTTTTGCCCCTTCTTGTGCTGAGATATATTCCTTCAGTAGTTTTTGAGCTGTTACAAAGTGGAGAGGTTTCTTGCTTATTATGAGAATTTAATTCATAACATTGAAACTGCTAGACTGAATGACATGTTTAATAAAATTTGGGACCTCTTATTTGGCCTTTTTATGTAAACAGCGTGGGAAGCTAATAAAGCTATTAAAAGCTTCAATTTATTTTATTTATAGAAACCCTTCTAAAGAAATATTTTCTGGGAAGAAGGAATGCAGTGAGGAGAAGGCATAGGAAAATGCACAGCCTAAAGCTCTGGTAGTATTTAAAATTGATGCCTTTGCTAATCTAATATGAGTTCACCACAGATCCCAAGGGAGCTTGATGCAGGATTCCAAAGAAATTTATTAACATCCAAAGTGTGTTTTTTATAATAAAAGTCAGGGGTTTTTCTTAATGAAAAAAACCCCATGTGCTTTTTTTATATTTGAAGAGGGGAAAGAAAATGCACAGTGGATCACTTAGCATTCTGTTTAATGATTTTGTATGCATTCACTTTGATCTAAACCCACGTCTGCTTTGTTCATGAACTTGAGCATTGAGCAGGATTTTTATTTTTGTGAAAATGCACAATTAGCTCTAAGTGTTTAATAATTTTTATTTAATAATTTTTATTTAATAGTGTCATTATTTAAGTAATTTATTTCAATTTCTTCAGGTTTAATATTAACTATAAATGTTACATAGAGATAATTGTTAATGTTAAGTGCCCTCTGGTAGTGAAATAACTTGACTGCATTATTGAATGCTGCTCTGGTAATGCTAGCTTCTTTCACAGAAAAATCTGGCCTGGTCTGCTTCTCTTACAAAATTACAGATAAAGAAACTACAGAAGTTAGACCAATCTACAGGAAGAAATGACACAGTTTTG